CAGGGAGTTAGTTGTGTGCAAGGACTCCTCTTTCTTTTTCTCCTTGTATCTCTTACCAGGAACATTGTTTTTTGAAAGAGAGAGAGAGAGAGAGAAGTAAGGGGGTGGAGGGAAGAGAAACACATAAAAGGGGGGGGGAAGAGAAGTGAAAGATAAATGGAAAAGGAAATCTTAATAAGGTTCCTTTTTGGGGTAGACTGCTGTATTAAATTAAAGTCATACATGGGTTTCAAAGGAAATCATATGTCGGTGGAATGGTGAGCCCACCTGACAATGCATGCTAACAGAATTGTAAATGTAAAGGGTAATGCTTGTCAGCTCCTGACAGCTCTAAATGGCCTTTTAGTTCAGTACGCAGAGCTGTCATAAAAAAACATAAAAATGCATATGCAGACAGCTGAAACTGCTATGCACATCATTATCTGCAAATGGTATAAGTATCCTGAACAAAGGGCCTTCCAGTTTAAGGACATGCATAAGACATTTTTTCTGCCTCTAGCCTTAAAACAAAGTGCTGTCAAGAAAACAAGATTCACAATGCCAGAACTGAGGATTCTCTGTCAATCAGTGAGGTGCTACATTTGTACATATTTTTCTGACCCTGCATATGAGAAGAGCATCCTTAACAGATGTGTATTTAACTTCTGGCAGGCACATCTGTTTCTTCTGCCGTCCTCCCCCCCCCCCCCAAATATCTTCTCTTTCTTTTAACGCTGCAGCAGAACAGTTTTGTTGTGGGTTTATTCAATTCTTTGTGCCTTGGCGTCTTCCTCTAGCGCCCTTTCCCCCTCCCTACAGCAATGGTTGTAGACTTTATATGCTAAGTAAATTGAAAGACCAGGATCATTTAATATGGGAATTAGGGTTAGATTAGTAATGGCAACTATAACTACTGTTTCTCTTGGCATGCTTGTGAAGATCCCTAAAGAGGAGTAGGTCAGAAGTGTAGATAAAGTAATATTTGCAAGCAGGCCAACTTTGGTGAATGGAGTGTAAAGAAAAATGGGTGGGGGAAACCGCACAGGGATAGGGATGCCATAGGTACAGAATAAGGCATTAAGAGAACTGGACAGCAGAGTGGAAGGAAGTCGCAGGAGATAGAAATGCTAAGAGGAAAGGAGTTGAACTCAGGGTGCCTGAGGAATGGTAGGGCACTGAGCATCAGGAGTCTGATGGGGTGTATGGTATGATTGAAGTCTGAGAAAATGGAATCTGGGAGAAAAAGCTCATAAGAGCAGATGGGTATGAGGATTGACAGGACTGGCTACATATTGACTATCCTTTTCAAGCACAATTTCCCCTCAAAGAATTCTGGGCACTGTGGTTTGTTAAGGGTTGCTGGGAACTGTAACTCTTTGAGGGGTAAACTGCACTGCCCAGAATTCTTTGTGGGAAAGTATGTACTGTGAATGTGCTTTATGCCGCCCATTCTTATGAGAGAAGAATGCTGCTTAAATAAGAAAGTTGAATAAGAACCTCCTGAGAAGCTAAAACAATCTTCTTGTGGTCTTCCTGGCATACAGTCACATAATCGCCAACTGCTATGAAAATGCTGGGACTGTCATAAAGTGGCTTCCCACTTTGTCACACAGAGTCCCAAATTCTCATCTTTGTTGAGGTATGCTGACCAGAAATGACTTCAGGTTGGGGGAAGCCTGAAATAGTTTTAAACATTTTCCCAAAGTCTCCTAGATTAGCAATTAGCCATCATAAACAATACAGACATTTTTTAAAAAAGGAAATTTTTGAACTTTCAGTGCAAGAATGATAAAATACAGTATTTCAGGGTACCAGAAAGGTAAATAGAATAAATGTCATCTGTAGAAAATTTCAATCCCTTTTATGGGCTCTGTTTACAAAGTACTGTGTCTCAGTCGGTAATTTTTCCTAGTCCAGAATTACTCTGTGCAGTTGGTTAATGGCACCTTAATTCTTCCTTAATTGTGTTTGGAATTTCTAGTAATTTCTCCAGTAAAATTCATACTGCTGCTTGTGCACACTTTTTGTTTATTTTTCCCCAAATTGTGATACAGAAAGTCATCAAAGCTAGAAAGATTTCATTATTGGAGAGTTATAATCACAAATGAACTTGAATCACAGAAGAAATGTATTTGTTACAATCATCAGTTACTGAAGATGCTCAACACGAGGCATTCTGTATCAGCAGTTCCAATTCCAGGACTTGTAGGAAGGTGCCAGGCTGAGCAATCCTAAACATGGGAAACCAGCATAAGTGAAAATTAAGCTGGCACAAAATAAGTCCGATCCAAACTCCACCCAGGAGTGTCAGGGAGGAGCAAGTGCCAGCTGAGTCAACCTCAGCCCAGCAGAGAGAAAAGAAACCAGCAAGACAGACATGGAGAGCCAGTTCAGTTGGCATCACCATGGCAATGAGGCCTACTTGTTGACACACAAGGGAAAGTTCCCAAGCACCTGCACTGGGAATGTGTGAACAGTGAGACCGCTCAGAGATAGCCCATGGGAATTGACAGCACACGTCTGCAAACGAGCAGAAGACAGAGCACACACGGTGTTCCTAGCAATGCTCGCTGCACACATCGCACAACATGGGCTTGCCATATGCCAGGAAAATTCCTGACATGTCCCTGTTTTGGGGTGTAAAAATGGCATCGGTGGGAATTTTGCCAGATTGGCAAAATGTCAGGGAAAACCCAGATGTATGGCAACCCGATGGAAAATGCAGAAGGAATAGCTCTTAAAACTTAAATCACTATATATTTTTGGTTAGATTTCCCCCCAAAAGCAAAACAATTTGGGTGTGTTCCCAACTAAAGCTTAACAATTTTGGTGGTCTTCAACAACTTTGCGGGTGTCAGGAATTTTACTTCTTGAAATATGGCAACCCTAGCGCAATATGCATCCCAGACATGCCCACCACATGCTCTGCAAACTGCGCAACCACACACAACAACAGTGGGACATTGTGCAACGAGGTTAACAAGCCCACGTGGAGCACACCGGTACCAGCCCACATGGCCCAGCTTGTAAGCACCCCAAACATGCACCCACCCACATGCCCCTAAAGAGCACACAGCACTCTGAAGTACTCATGGGCTCATGCCTCACTCCTCCTGGGCCATCTCCAGTTCTCACCTTGTGGGGTATAAACCTACTCCTGCCCACTCCCAACTACGTAATCATAGTTTGCATTGTGCAGCATGTTAAATCCCAATAGCTTCCAGCAGCCCAATAGCATACCCCCCTCCACACTTTAAAAACACTGTATTTTCATCCACAGATGCCCACTGTAATATGCATAAAATTTAAAAAGAAGCTCTTTCTCCAGTGATGGCCATTGGTGAGAGTAGGCAAGAAGCACATCGTAAAAGCACCAGAAGGCCAAAAGGGAAAAGGAATTGGTACATATTATTTATTTTATGGGTTACTGTAGATAATGCTTCATTATCGCATGTGCCACCAATGGCTACTACTCTGGAGAAAATCCTGACAAAAGTATCTAATACTTTCTCTTGGTTATATAAAATAAGTAGATTTGTGGTTTGATGGTACATGGATCTGTCCAGAAGGGAAAGATTCCATTACTCATTTCAGCAACCTGCAACAATTTCAGGCAATATAAAGTTGTTTATCATTTAAAGTATAGTTTATAGGATATAACCTGCTAGCTTTCCCATTTCATATCCATGAGATCTCACTGGATTTGACCAAATAATATCAATGATTATTTTTGTATGTTGAGTGGGTATCCTGAGGTTTGATTCTGTTACTGGCAGAATGAAATTGTGGCATATTTTATTCAGAAAATAGAAAGGTTCAGGTCTCAGAAATCTTCATCTGTTGCTTCTCAATGATACTTCCATGCTGATGAATTTTCAGGTGAGGTGGCTGCCACTTAAAATTGTCTTGTACTTCTGTAGCAGAAACAAAAACACATACCTAAGCTATTAGAGGTTCGTGAGACACCATTCTATAAAGTTTTGAACAGAATAAAGGGCTTCAATGGCACAGTGAGTGTTATTTCTCAGGGGTTTTTTTGTTTGCTACTTAGTGCAGCTGTGATCATATTTTGGTCTCTTAATTTTTCTTGAATTTTGGTGCATTTGAGATCCTTTGAACTACTAAACTGAGATTCTTTGTTCAAATTCAGCCGCATTTCTGCAATGGCTCCCCATTTGTGGAATGCTCTCCCCAGTGAGGCTCACCTGGTGCCTTCATTACATCTCTTTAGGCACCCGGTGAAAACATTTCTCTATCACCAAGCCTTTGGCTGATTAATATTCTGTGTGTTTGTGGGAGAGGGGTTAATGTTCTGTTTTTGTTTTAGTATGTATTTATGTTCTCATTTTGTGTTTTTATGTTGTGAAGGATCCTGCGGTAAAAATAATAATGCACCGTGTGGCCATGTAAAGCCCACTAGCACTCTCAATTCTCCATCTGTAAAATGGGAACAATAGGGACCAATTTCACAGTGGCATTATGAAAATGGGGGGGGGAGAGAGATTTTTGGCATCTATAAATTGAACAAAAGTAGAAACTCATTTTTACTAAATTTTAAATTTTCTTTCCAGGGAAGAAGAATTAATTATTATTATTATTATTATTATTATTATTATTATTATTATTGAATCCTTTCAACAAATGTTGATTAAGAAGCTCTACAAACTGTTCTCCAACAACAATAGTGCGTGTGTTTTTAAAATCAATTTGTGTCTTGTGCAGTCCTATTTGCTTCTAAATAAACAAGTAAGACTGTTGCTGCTTTGCTGCATTTCTTAGCATAGAATGCACATATATCTGATCTCTTTTCCTTGGAAGGGTTCAGCCAGATTTACACAAGGTGAATGTGACCTTCAGGAGGCAGAACATCTGGGAATGACAATTAAAGCCATCTGCACCCAAGACAAGCAGGTTGTTCAGTACCCAACTCTCTTCTGCTGCTTCTAGAAAAGGAAAAGGGGGGCTAATCTCAAGGCACCCATCCCTTTTTTATTGTCTGTCCTCTGATCTAGTTGAGATGTAAAAATATTGAAAACCTGACCATGTCCTTACTGCTAATCTTCTCTGTATCATTCCAGTTTTAGTAAATGTGCTGCCCAAAGAGGAAGAAATATCACCATGAGAAAAACGAAGCTGGCCCATAATGCATTTTTAAGGCAGCTTCAACGCTGCCCTTCAATAACCCAGAATGCCACTAGGACTTTAGCCCATGGCAATGTAGGCAGCGCTACATCTCCAGTCTAAATTTCATGTGGGTTTGGATGCTCCAGAATCCATAGGCTTCCTTCCTGATTCCAGTGTATGTATGTGTATGCCTGGGTCTGGGAAGAGGGAGCGCCATAGACATCTCAGAGTGAGCACCTGGTCCATGTGTCGCCCTGGTGGTTTATACTAGGGATGAGTAACCTGTGACCCTCCAGCTGTTATGGGACTCCAGCTCCCATCAGCCCCAGCCACCAGGACCAATGGTGAGGGACAATGGGAGCCATAGTAGACCAGCAACATTTGAAGGGCCACAGGTTCTCCACCACTGATCCACCTTTGTCTCTTGCTGTCAGTAAACCTCCTCTTTGATTCTAAGAGAGAACTGTCAAGTCTCAAGTGAGAAGCGCTAAGTGAGAAAAGTTGGTTTGTCTCTTAATGAACATAATCCAATAACAGATATTACTCCACTGCCTTGGTCCTTTGTCTTGTTCTTTCTCTGGGGCCATCGCCAAAATAATTCTACGCTGAACATCAGGATCTGGAATTACAATTTCATCTGTAGTTCTCCTGAGAAAGGCTGGATCTATATTACTTTATTGCAGTGGGACTCGTTCCAGGTAGCGTTTGGGACTGGGCTATATATGCTAGTCAGATTCATTCCCAGTCCCTAAATGCCTTCAGAACTACTTGAACCCCATTGCCTTTGTCAGTTGTGCTTTATTGGTTGTACTTCTGACCTGTTGTTCTGAATGAAAAATAGGCTTCAAGGAGAACGGCTCTGCAAATTACATGAAATGAGATGGTAGAGTAAGTCGGAAGATTTCTTGAGCTGTACCATTTTAACTTAACATATTTATGAATAACAAAACAAACTCCCTACATGATGAAGAAAGCTAGCACATTAGGGAGAAAGGTTCAGTGTGTGTGTTTCTGAAGTGCTAGTTTATTACATGCAGGGAACTTTTACAATGGGGAGAACTTGCAGTCTGCCGGGTTACAGTCCAGAATCCACTCACCTTACTCTGTGTTATGTGTGTGTTGTGGAACAGTTCATCTGATGCAACAGGGTGTGTTCCCACAAGAGTTCATCCCCATGCTGTGCTCTGCTTGACTTGCCATCTGAACGGCAAGCACATCCATTGCCCTTGTGGATCTGAGTTCACTCTCCACTATGACTCAGTCATGGTTTGTCCATTAGGGATGGGTGAACCTCCCAGTTTTGGTTTCTCTCAGTTTCTCCAAATTTAGTTGTCCATGTTTCCACATGAGTTTGATTAAAACAAAAAAGTCCTCATGAAAATTCATTGGCACTTTAGTGCGATTTTCTCCTAATACTCAATTTTTTGAAAGCAACTTTGTCTAATACTCTCATTTTTGCAAAACAATTTCTATCAGAATGCATTTCTGTATTGTATTTTCACTCATATACACAGTCTATATTAGCCAAGAGCTGCATTGCAATATTTGGTGCAATGCAGATTTTGAAGGATAGCTGTGTTTTAGTTCATGCATCATTTTGGAAAGTCCGAATATGGCAGGATCGCCTTCAATTTCTCTCCCATCATTCAGGAGTAAACCACAAGTGCAGGGATAATAATAATAATAATAAATTTTATTTATATCCCGCCCTCCCCAGCCGAAGCCGGGCTCAGGGCGGCTAACAACAATAAAACAATACAAAAGTACAGCATAAACAACACTCTAAAATCATTCATTATAAAATTAATTAATTCAAGCCACTGGCAACCATTGGGCCAGAGCTCCGCGAAGATTGCCAAGGGAGGGAGTCAGGCTGTGCCCTGGCCAAAGGCCTGGTGGAACAGCTCTGTCTTGCAGGCCCTGCGGAAAGATGTCAAGTCCACACTAATGGGAACTGGAGATGAGATTATGGAGATCATGCTGGATAGAAATGTCAGTGCATCCATTCTGAGGGAAAGCCATACTAGCGGCTGATCCACTGCTCATTTGGGTGTGACTTACACAAACCAGAGAATCTGGTTACACAAGCAGGAAGATTTTTTTTCTTTTAAAAAAAATCCACACAGCAAATGACACATGCAAGCAGATATCCTTAGAGACTTAACCCCACCTTTTTTCAAAAAGAAACCAGACGCTTAGAGAATTAACCAAGATTTTATTGACAGTTTTAAGTTCCACAACAATTCACCTTGTATATGCCCTATAAACACCTTTCTTTTCGGTGTCACTCACATGCTCATTTTCTGCCTCAATAATTCTCTGCTAAGATCCCATTCCCATAACAAAAAGAAAAAATGAGTGACACCTCAAACAATATTTGATAGTCTAACAACAATTTCTAACTTCAAAGACTATATACATAAAAGTTGAAGACTTTTGCTACAAAACCAAACCACTGGGAAATCATTTTCCGACTGACATCAATTCCCTAGCCACAAGAGTGAAGTCTTTCACTAAAAAAAATATATAACTTTTTATGGCATTCTTTAACGTTTTAATTTAGGCACCAGATATTGTAAATAAAACTCAGCCTACGTTTGTGTTCATTGTAGGATTGGGAGAATAAATGAAGGAACCCCAGAAAAACAGAATCCTTTTAGTTAAATGTGGTTGCATAATTTTTAATATGAAAAGCAAACTCATATATTATAATATTTTATTGTGTTTTTGTGATATGTTTTTCTCAGAACTGAAATTATATAAATTCCTGTGGTAGTGACAATGGAATAATAGTGGTTTTTAGTTTATGAACTTTCTGTAGAGACAGATTATGGGTATGGCAGGCCATGGAAGATCTGTAGGAAAAACAGGTTAATGTTGGGGGGGGGACATCACTAAGATATATTATGATAATCTACATACAGGATACAAAACCTGTGGTCTCCAAGATGTTGCTGGACTACAACTTCCAACATCCCTGACCATTGACCACATATCAGGCACTGACAGGAGTTGAATACCAAAAACATCTGGAAGGACACAGGCTCCCCGTTGCTGCCCAACAGATAATCAAAACCAGGCAGTGGAATGCTTCCATGTTGGTTCTAATGGACCTTTCTCTGTGGTTTTTGATAGTATCAACCTTGGTATCCTTCTGGACTGGGATGAGATTTGGAGACTCAATGTAGCGTTATGATTACTCTAGTCTTTCCTGGGAACTCTTGGTGGACGCTTTGGCAGTTAGCCCTACCACCCATAAGGTTCCATCTTGTCCTCCATCCTGTTTAACATTTACATGAAACCTATTGGAGGGATCATTGGGGTTTTGTCATCAAGATGTGGATAACACTCAACTCCGCATTTTCTTTTTATCTTGTTCTGAGGAGTGCCTGGATGTGGATATACAACTTGAAGCTTAATCCAGAAAGAACACATGTGGTCGAGGTCAACAGAGCATTCTCCTTGAAAATTGTGGGTTCTGGAACTAGTCTTGACCCTGGGTGTCAGTTGTTAGATGTAGTCAAAAGCACCTATGTCCAACTGAGGCTGATGAGTCAACTGTACCCACTTCTGCAGACTGCAGACCTGGCCAGAATGACACACGACTTGGTTACATCATGTCTAAACTATTGTAATGTGCTGTGGGTAAGGTTTCCTTTAAAGAGTGTCCAGATACTGCAAATGATCCAGTCTGCGGTGGGCTAGGTTGTTAACTGGAGCTGTACATCAGGAGTAGGCAACTCTCTTATTGAAACAACTGCACTGGCCTTTATTTGCAACACAGTTCAAAGGAGCAGATATAGGGAACCCATGACCCTCCAGGTAGTGGGCTCCAATTCCCAGCATCCCCTGCCAGTATAGCCAATGATCAGGGCTGATGGGAGTTGTAGTCCAACAGAATCAGCATCTGGTGGGCCATAGTTTCCCCATCTCTACCTTACTGCTTGGGATCAGATTATCTGAAGATTATCTGACCCCTTGTCCTCTTAAGAGCATTATCATAGGCCCTCCAGTGTGTCATGATGTCTCCGGAAATATATCTAGTTAGGACCAGCAAGAAGGCCTTTTCAATGGCTTCACTCAGACTCTGGAACTCCCTCTTGAAGGAGGCTCATCTTGTCTCCTCCTAGAATGCTTGAAACCTTCATTTCTAGGGTTGCCATATTTGAAAATTAAAAATCAGGACACCCTGAAAGTCATTGAGCCTTTTTTAGGAAGACCACCAAAATTGTTGAGCCAAATTGAGCACTTCCCACCAACTTCAGTCTGCCTCCACTTGCCTGCCTTCTTACTTACAACCTGTCCATGGGGTGGCCCTCACTGCCAGCTTCTTCCTCCTTACCCTTGGTGTTGCCTTTGTAGAATTCAGCAAGGAGGAGCATGGGGACAAAACTAGAATTATTTGGACCTCCTTCTGATTGGCTCTGGTTCTACTGGTTGTTGGTCTCTCTGCCTTCTCCCCTACCAATCCCAGTGGCCACCAGCCACCACTGTTTTCTTTTTAGGAGGGTTTGTGGGGTGTGAAAGGGTTTAAGATCTGATTTTATCGCTGGGAGAGGTCAACTTGTTTCAATGACGACCTTTTATCGTTTACCTATTCTGCTGCAAAAATATTTAAGTTTTGTTTTATTTGTTCATAATTCCTCAACAATCACTCCCTTTATAAGGAAAGGTGGGGCAGAAATGTTTTAAATCAATATTTGAAGCCTCACTTGGTCACGATATGTTCAGGAGCAAAGTGATCCTTTGCACTTTGTAAATCTCTGCAATTTCCACTGAAGGCTGGAATGCCAATTTGGACACTTCTCTTTGCCGCATGATTCATGTGTGATTATGTTTTCCTTTGTAATTTTAATGTACTGCTGACTCGCATGACATCATCTCTTTTTGCTAAGCCTTCCCTAAAATATGAGCATTCTCATTTGAATTGCCATGACTAAATATATTGGAAGCCATTTAAAGTTCTAAGTGCATTAAACTGGT